GAGAGAGAGAGAGAGAGAGAGAGAGAGAGAGAGAGAGAGAGAGAGAGAGAGAGAGAGAGATGAGCACGAAAATAATATGTAAAATCATTTCGAATTATATTTACATTATTAAAATACTGTTGTGTATTGTTTTATTACTTTTTATTGCTATTTAATAATCGTGTTACATATATATGTCGTGTTTTATATATATATATATACATATTTGTTAGAAAAAATAATATAATTAAATATATTAAGAGTATATATTCCAGTGTTTCCGATCACATTTGCAATCATTTTTTGTAAATGTTTTATATGTAAATTCATATGTAAATTTTCTAAGAAGATGCCAAATTTATAAAAATATTTATAAAAATATTTTTAATGTAATATCTAATAAAGTAAAATTAAATGTTACGAAAATGCTAAACAGTGATTAAATTTCATTTTTTTTTCTAGTTTTTCAGCTATTTTATTGGTCTCTTGAAATGATTGGCTAGAAGTGTGCAAATAGTTCGAATTTGATTCGAATCAAATCGAATCGAATCGAATTACAATAGATTCGATTCCCAATCTGTGAGATAAGTTCGAAATTTCTAATCATTGGTGATTCAATTTCGAATCAATCGCCTTTCATTTGTTTCATTTATGATTTTCATAAATTAAAAATTATTTATTTTCTCATGTCTTTAAAAATCTGGAATGTTATTGAAAATACTTTATTATTTTTAATTATTTAACTTTTAATGTAAATTCGAAAAAAATTTTATTCAAATTCATTTTCAAATCGAAAAGACTCGATTTGATTTGTAAAAATTTCAATTTCGTTTTCGAACGTATTATCAAAGATTCGATTCAATTCGATCTTATGAATCAATTAGTGTTTCCTACAGACTGAAAGATAAGCGAAAAGCTTTTAGGCAAAAGCTTTTTATGAGCTTTTTATTTATATATATTTTATTTATTGAAGATCCGGAAAATTATGAAAATCATTTCTGCTGAATTGTGTTTCATTGCAGAAGGATTTAACTGCTTCTTTTCTCCAGAACATTTGATGAAGAAGAAAAAGTTTGATTTGCGTTGGCGCCTGAAGAATTGTCGTTTAATATATTGTACGATTGAGAATTAGGTCAGATTCAGATGCGAACTACATATTTGCTGGAATCGACGAACATAAATTATTTACCGAAAAGTGTAAATCGAAGATTTCCGTTGGCATCGAATAAAAATAGCGGAACATCTTTTGGGTTAAAAGTCCGTGGATTGACTCCAAAATGAAGTTGGTGTGATCCCTCCTAAACAATGTTTATAATAAAATATTTATAAACTATACATATATAATTAATTGTAATATATGTTTTCAATACTATTAAATTTGATATCAAATCTTTTTAAAAATGTTATCAAAAAATGTTATAATTATTTTTCTTATAAATTTAAACAATAACAGAATTTATCTAGAATGATTTATACAACGATTTATACATTTATACGCGTATAAATCAGGAAGAATGAGTAATTATAAATATCATGAACAATGTTTCCACTAGAATGATCTAATATTTCTTTTCTTCTTTTTTAAAATTTTCTTTCTTTCCCTGATTTTATCTTGAAATTTCCCCGCATTTTCTTTCCCATAAAAAAATTTTGTTATCTTAGATTTTATCAAATCAAAAGAATATATCACATATTAAAATTCTATTATTTTAATAAAGGAATTTTGGAAATTTTATATTTAAGACACTTACATTTTATTTTTTTATAATTAATTTTAATGTTTTTATCAGATTATAAACAAGTGCTATTTTAATTTAGAATAAAGAAATAGATTATACATATAGTGTTCAATAAAATTGATTAAAAATATATTTTTAATAATTGTAAGACAAATGGAAAGAAATATTTCTTAAAAGTCACATAACATTTAATGTTTTGCTGCTAATTAGATTTTGTAATCGATTTTCAGTATCTATTACTGATAGCTGTAGTATATCGGAACAGTATATCGGCCTATATAAGACATTTATAAATGAGCACATAACTTCAGAAATAAAAAATAACACAAAAGCTTCATGTAAATATTTATTTTATCTGATCTTGTTTATTCTAATTACAGATATTTACGTTAATTTTCATTACAAGTTAAGCTAGTATAGTATACATACCTTCTTCGCGTTTTAATAACGTTTTTAAAAACAGAAATGGTAAAGATACTATTCTAGTTCAGCTTATAACTAGAATTAATGAAATAGAAAATGGCTATAATTTTGAAACAAAGTCAGATAGAACAAATTTATGAACTTTTTACGTTATTTTTATGTTCTAAATTAATTTCTAAAGTTATTCCACATATAAAATAAAATATCTTATACAATACTACTTTATATTGCTTGTGTGTAGAATGTCTTCATTCTTATGTACAAAAAATGAATAAATTCATTAAATGTTTGAATAATGAAATTAAAAATAATGTAATAAATGTGCTAGTTTTTATTAAGTTGTGTGATATACACATTAAATCTCTATTTCGTATAGTTCATACATAAGACGTCTTATATTTAAGGAACTACATTGAAAAAAAATATAGTCAATTTTAATAAATATTTAGTTATTTAAATACCAACTAAATATTTATTAAATATAAAGATATATTTATTTGATACAAGAAATGTTAATTTAATTTAACAATCATTTTCTTTATTGAATATTTACTTACTGTAAGTAAATGTTTAGTTGGTAGTATTGAACTAAATATTTATTAAAATTAACTATATTTTTTCTCAGTGTAATAATCTAGTATTATTATATAAGTCGTATTCTAATCAACACTGTCAGTATTAAAAATCTAATATATATAAACTGAATGTGAACTACAGATTTTTAATATTAATATATATCAGAACATGGCATGCGGATGTCTATGTTCTTATCTCTATATTGATAATTGTTAGCACAACACTAGCACAACACTAAATTAATTGATTAAAAAATTTGCGCTTTTTATTTAAAAATTAATAATTTTTTTACTATTTTTCACTTTTTGGGGATTTTTCTTTGGGGATTTTTTTCTTTTTTCTTTTTCTTCCCTCAAATGTTCAAAAATTTTTCGCAAAAGAAAATTTTCTCTCAAAGTGAAAACATTGATCGTATGTGAAACGCACATAATATAGCCATTTATAAATAAAAATGAGGAAACGAGAAAAAAAAGAGAAATTATTTCATTACATTACTGAATTTAAAAAGCATTTACAATCATTTTAGTATTGATAAGCCATTCTCTGTTCTGGGCAACTGTATATGCAATGACACAAGATAAAACTAAAATGAGAGCAAATAGCTTCATTTTCAATATTAAAAAATAGAGAACAGATTATAAGAGCACCGATAAGTGAAGCGCAAATATGACTGTCAAACGGAAGACGGTTAATTGCTTAAATAAGGCTTCGGATCTTTAGCATACGTCATTCTCACGGGACATCATCGTCTTTTTTATTATTTTTACACGTGTTTTTGTCATAAAAGCAAACAGCTGCTGCATTCAATGTCTTCGCGAAATAAATTGAGGGATTCCCGTGACATTTTTGTGACCTCCTCGTTTTAATTACGTAGTCTGTATCATACTTTTATTACTTTTCTTATCTCTTTATTATGATAATATACATAAGCGTGTATTCATACACGTATATGACTTTACATTTATGATGTCGTTTGTTTTTGTACTGAATTTTTGCATATGTTTTTAAAGCATTTTTCAAGATTGTTAGCAGTTAAAGAAAATCGGAAGAATCGGAAAAATTAGAAAATCAATTTATAAGATAAAATTAAATTATTACAATACTTCTAAATTTAAACTTTATTTCTTTAAAAATTATTAAATAGAATTTTTTAAATTATTTAAAAAGACATTGTAATATTTTACATTTTTGTAGAAAACTATTAGCAAAATTACAAAAAGAAAAATAATATCTGGATTTTTTGTAAAATCAAGATGTAACAACGTTTTGCAAATCAGTTTTGCTATATTCACAGCATAAAATTTTATACAGAATATTTACTGTACTTCAATAATTATGTATTTTTTTAATGCAAATGAATTTATTGCAAGGAATAATGTTATGAAATTATGTAGTATTAAAATAAAAATTTTTAATTAAAATGATAATAAAAAAATAGTTTTAGTAAAATGATTAAATCTTAGTGAGCAATGTGCAAAACAAAGATTTAATGAAATAAATTAAAAATCATGCAAATCAAAATTATGTTTAACAAGAATTTAAGAAGTTATAGAAGTAGACGAAAAAATAGAAAAGCTCTCTTTTCAAAAGTACAAGATTGAAGTTTCTTTATGTTAAAAATGTTTTAAAAAATAATACAAATTATATTCTGTTTTGTTTTTTATACATTTTGTTTGTAATGAATAAATAGTTTTTTTTAGTATTGTTTTTATTTTTATTTAATGCTTCTTTTAAGGCTATACAATGTGCTCTTTTTGTTTTTTGTTTCTTGTTTTTTATTTTTTGCTTTTTTTCCTTTGCAACTGTTTTATCAACAATTATATTTTTTTTTACTACTATTTCTTGTTTCTTTCGAAGTTCGTTAATTTTTATCTCGCGATATAAAACAAAAATTGGATAAGAAACAAAAAGACAAGATGTAAAAAATAACAAAAGACAAAAAACAGGAAATAAAAAGCATATTGTAGAACAAGCTTTAGGCTTCAATCAAAGAAAGGGATATTTGTTTTTCTTTGGCTAACAATTCTGAGTATATGAATAATTCATATCTCTACATATTTTGTATAAAAAAGTAATCTTGATATAGATCAAGACATACAAAATTCTAGATACATAATTCTAGATTGATTAACGAAATATTAATTACTAAAAATTATCAAATATTGATCTTTAATAAGTTTTTATTCAAATACTATCAACTTTACAGAAAAACAGCTTGAGACAAAAATTGTTTATTTTCTTCTTAGCTCTAAGAATTTTTCAGAATATTTGATCAACTTTTCAATACTGCATTTTCTTATTGATAATTATTTTTATCAACATGAGAAAATATGATACTTATTAAAAAATTCTGAAAAAATTCTCAGAACTTTATAAGAAAAAAATAAATAATTTTTGTCTGTTGTTTTTTTTGTAAAATTGATATTTGAGTAAGAAATTATTGAAAACCAATATTCGGCAATTTTTAGTAATTAATATCTCGTTAACTATTGCAAAATTGCAAAATGATAGAAAACTTTCCAATTTAATTTAGTCTATCTACAAAAAGCGTATGGTAGAAGTCTTGTCGAACACTGTATATGTATACATAAATATAAAATATTTTTTTCATTTTTCACGTTTCCACCTTAGAGAAAAAGTTATATGATTGACTTCCTGAAAATAATTTCTGTTTTTAGATTTTAGTATTTTATTTTAAAGATTGTTATCATTTTATTATAAAAATAAACTTACATATATGAAATATAATGTACTTAGTATAAAAATATCTCTTTCAAACAATGAAAAATAAGGCAAATCAATATCCTAAAATTATATGAAGACTTTGTATATAGATACTTCATCAAATACTTTATTTTGCTCAATCAAATACATATATATGTTTATTAATAATTATTTATCTAAATTGCTTAAATCTATTATTACGTTTATCGTTTAAATAAAAAATATAAAAGAAATAATTATTACATGACACATTTCATTTAAAACATTATTCTGCTTGATTATAGGTAATAAAAATTAAGCAAAAAGACTATTAGTTATATTATATTAGAAACAGAGATGTGATTAGTACGATTGTTGCAATTGACAGATTAAAGCACTGAGGAAAATACGTCCGAATAGTGAAAGTGCTATTTAATGTGCGAGGGTTCCCCGACGCGAGAGAATGTCACATGAACTCAACTCGAGGCACGTTCGATTTGCTGCTGGGAATTACCCGGAGCGATAAGTGACGCAACGGGATCTATCTATTGAGGAAAATTGAGTACATCCCCGGGAATCTAAAATTCGTATATAAGCAATCGGGACAAGATGAACAAGCATCAGTTGTTTCTAACTTTCAAGTAGAAACATTTCCTACTTTGAGAAAGGAATAATTAATATCATCATGAAGCTACTAGTTTTTGTGTTGGCCGTATTATGTGCTGTCACCTACACAAGCGCTGACTTGTCAGGAAAAACATCGTCAGTTCTTTCATCACATGTAAGTAATTTATTATTCAAATAAACTAAAATTGAAAATTATGTAAATAATTTACTTTAAACGTAGGTAAGTTTTACAATTGAAATGATTCTTATAAATTTTTTCTTAATTTATATTTGAATTAAAATTATTGAAATTATCTAAATATTTGAAAACAATATTATATTTAAAATGATTTAAATATAAGTATAATTTCTTTCTAAGCATTAAATATATTGCATCATCTGATGTCAACGTAACAAATTGATGATACGTGTCTATGCATTTATTAACGCATTGCATATTGCAGCGTAAATACCTTGCATTGAGCGTAACTCACAAAAACACTTGTTACATCTGGAGTTTGTAAAAAATTCATTCATTGTTATTCAGATTATGACGTTAAAAGCAAGAAAATACATAATAAAAATTCTCTCATAGTAATAAAGAGCTTTAAAATAAGATTTCTTGCTTTAAAAAATACTTTTTTGAAATATTTTTTTAATAATTTCTATTATTTTTGTATATGTATACTTCAATATGACTTATAACTCCGAATAACACTGGATTTTACATATATAAATGTATCTATATATAATAATACTACATATAGGGGACAAGGGAATTATGGACATGGGGTAAACGTGGACGACACTGTTGCAATATATTAGTGATAATTTCATTTCCAATTTCGTATCCAATGATAATACAATACATTCTTATAATAACACATACCTGCATAAAAAGACGCTAAAAAATAAAGGCTCGTATTCAGATCATGCTTACAACAATGTTATAGTTTACATATACTATAGAATTTTAGAGATAAAAGCGCGCTTTATCGACAAAAATGCGTTATGAATACCGGCCAAATATTATTATACATATTCGATTGATTTTGAATAAGAGAACGGAGTAATTGCGAATATCTAAGGGAAAAGTTATTTAAATTGATAATATGTGAATTATATATTATACTGTTAATTATATATTACAGTTTAAAGATAAATAACTAGAGATTTTAAAGATAAATAACTAACTATCTTTTGAATAAAGATTTTATTAAGTGTTACATAATTGACAATTTTATTTAATTTTTCCTTAAGTGTCCTCAATTCCTACGCTCCTTCCTATGTACACACGCGCGCGCGTACACATATGCTATGTGTATACACATGTATAAAAGAATCATCTTTTCAAGAAATTATTTTTTTTTTCAGGAATTGCGTTTTCCTCGCCAAACTAACCTACCCAACTTGCAAATCGAGGAGCCAAAAAAAGGTTCGATAACGTTTCAAAGAACGCAGCCTCTGAGTGGCTCACAACGTCAATCAACTTGGAATCTCAACGCAAATGCCAATGTTTTTAACAAAGATCACACAACAGCGGATGTTTATGGTGGATTGAGTAAAGTACCTGGACAACGAGTCCAGCCATACTTTGGCATCCAAGCTGAAAAGAATTTCGGCAAAAATGGCTTCATCAGAAGTCATACTGAATTTCAACAAGGTCCACAAGGTCATAGATTCTCTCCTTCAGTTGGTATAACTGGTGGATTTCGATTCAAGAGAGAAGCCGAACCCCAAGGATCAATAAGCTTTCAAGGAACGCAACCTCTGAGCGGTCCAATGCGTCAACCTACCTGGGATCTCAACGTTAATCGTAACATCGTGAACAATGACCGCACAACCGCGGACGTTTATGGAGGATTGAGTAAAATACCTGGACAACGAGTGCAACCGCACGTCGGCATCCAGGCGGAGAGGAATTTTGGCAATAATGGTTTTATCAGAGGTCATGGTCAACTTCAGCCAGGTCCAAGAGGTCACGGAGTCTCTCCTTCAGTTGGTATAACTGGTGGATTTCGATTCAAAAGAGAAGCCGAACCCCAAGGGTCAATAAGCTTTCAAGGAACGCAACCTCTGAGCGGTCCAATGCGTCAACCTACCTGGGATCTCAACGTTAATCGTAACATCGTGAACAATGGCCGCACAACCGCGGACGTTTATGGAGGATTGAGTAAAATACCTGGACAACGAGTGCAACCGCACGTCGGCATCCAGGCGGAGAGGAATTTTGGCAATAATGGTTTTATCAGAGGTCATGGTCAACTTCAGCCAGGTCCAAGAGGTCACGGAGTCTCTCCTTCAGTTGGTATAACTGGTGGATTTCGATTCAAAAGAGAAGCCGAACCCCAAGGGTCAATAAGCTTTCAAGGAACGCAACCTCTGAGCGGTCCAATGCGTCAACCTACCTGGGATCTCAACGTTAATCGTAACATCGTGAACAATGGCCGCACAACCGCGGACGTTTATGGAGGATTGAGTAAAATACCTGGACAACGAGTGCAACCGCACGTCGGCATCCAGGCGGAGAGGAATTTTGGCAATAATGGTTTTATCAGAGGTCATGGTCAACTTCAGCCAGGTCCAAGAAGTCACGGAGTCTCTCCTTCAGTTGGTATAACTGGTGGATTTCGATTCAAAAGAGAAGCCGAACCCCAAGGGTCAATAAGCTTTCAAGGAACGCAACCTCTGAGCGGTCCAATGCGTCAACCTACCTGGGATCTCAACGTTAATCGTAACATCATGAACAATGGCCGCACAACCGCAGATGTCTACGGAGGATTGAATAAAGTACCTGGACAACGAGTGCAACCGCACATCGGCATTCAGGCGGAAAGAAATTTTGGCAATAATGGTTTCATTAGAGGTCATGGTCAACTTCAGCCGGGTCTAAGAGGTCACGGTGTCTCTCCTTCGATTGGTATTACAGGTGGTTTTCGATTTAAAAGAGAAGCCGAAGATACTGATGAGATAGAGCCCACCGAAAAGTATTAAAAAAATTTTGAGTTAACATTTAAATGACTTTTACATACAAATATATAAAAATTTATGCAAAACTGCCATTTAATTATCTTTAAATTGTAATGTATGTTATAATTGTTTAAATGTAAAATGTATGTTATAATTATTTATATACTAAATATGTATTATTCTGTATATTATTTAGAGATTATA